ACCATTAATACAGCACTGCCGAGTCCAACATTAAATCATGTCCCTAAGTGCCACATATATGTTCATTTTAAATAATTCTAGGGGTGATAACTCCAGTACATCCTTGGGCAGTTGTTTATAATGCTTTCAGTGAATAAATATTTCTGAATATCCAAGAATAAACCTCCACTGGCACACCTTGAGGCCATTTCCTCTTGTCTATCACTTATTACCTGGGGGAAGAAACTGATCCCCACCTTGCTACAATCTCTCTTCAGGTAGATGTAGAGAGTGATAAGGTCCCTCAGCTGCTCCTCTTAAGACAGGAGCAGCTATCCCTGCTCCTGCACCAGTTTCATTGGTTTCTTTGGACGGTATCTTTCCAGAGACAAAGAACAAATTTTTATGTAGTCAATTATTTCCTCTCTCTTAGCAGGGAATTCTGTGTCTCACAATCTTAGCTACATGTAGATGCTCATTTTGCGTTAGCAAATGCTCAGTGTCTTTGTTATAAGACACTGAGCAAAGATATAAGAGATATGTTGTGATGAGAAGAGAATAAATCCCCAAGTTTCCCTTTTCATGGCATCTATGGCATTGTCTTATCCCTGATCGCTTCCCCTTCTCTGGAACATCAGATATGAACTGTGATGTGGTTGTGCACAGTTGCTATTAATTGCACACCTCACCTGGTAGTTTTTACTGGGAAGAACAAACAGGAAAATGCAGGAAGGTAAAATTTGTTAGGCTTTGCCTACTGTGTGTAACTGTTTATATTCTATTTATATCATGTAGTCCATTGTACTACAAGGGATATTTGTAATGGAATGCATTCACAGTAGCTGAACACTGCTGTGCCAGAATCTTCAGAGGTTATCAGTTTGGCTGTGTCAGAAGGGCCTGCTTTTCTGAAAGCCCTGGTCTTTAAAATTCAAGCTGCTTTCAGGTATTTTAGGCTGGACAGTACAGAATTGATATGGACAGCTGCTTTTGGAAATCGTAGTGGAAGTTTTCACCTTCAAAGACACTTACTCTCAGCATGTGTCTTTGACATAAATAAAATGGACTTAAATGAAAAATTAAGAAGTAATAAAAGATTCACATCCTGTAGACATTGAAAAGTCAAAATGCTGTGCTTTCAGAAGGGAATAAGCAACACAGTGCTTAGCACCAGTGCAGAAGATCAGAGTGCTACTGATTCTATCTGTCCACACTATCCATCTCCCAGGCACAGTCATGCACTGACCATCCCAGTTAAGCATCTTTCACCTTTCCCAGGATGGGTTTTCAACAAATCCAAACCAGCTGCAAACCAAACCCACTAATTTTGGTTCTTCTGTTCAGATCTTAAGCAACATGATGACCTCTCTCAAAATTAGTAAGCTACTCATCTCCAACATTTCCCAACACTTTGACACTAATGTCCATTTAATCTCTGCAGAGCCTTTACTAGTCCTGCAGAACTTTCTGATGAGGGAAGTGCCAATAAATCATCTGGATACTGAGACCCTACTCCTCTCATTAACCCCTTCACAGCCACAGGCCTTGTCAAGGACAGGAGGCCCTCTTCACAGTGTCATTGGAGACTTTGAGTAGCAGAGCATAAAACTGACTGGAGCAGGCAGATTATGGGCTGAGGCTTCTCCTCCCATCTGACTTCTCTGCACAGCATTTGTCTCTCTGCTGGGAAGCCTTGAGGCAGGGCTCACTCAGTAACAAGAAAAATCTAATCTAGTTTATGTAGTATGTGAGGTCTGTGAGAAATAACCAAAAGGAGCATGAAGTTTCTTGTTTCTTCTTCACATTTTACTGCAACATGCTGAAACACCATTAGAACATTTACCGAAAAGTCACATGAAGAGATGCACTGATGCTTTTGTAAGAGTAATTAACTCTCAAAGTAGTTGCTTCTAGCTATGTTAGTACTAGTATAAACCAGAGCCTGTCCGTATGTTCACACTTCCATACACTCATGATCAAATATGATTCAGGCTCTTCTTCAGTATTTCAGTGAAACTAACCATAGATATGTTGGTAAGCTTTCATAACCTGAAAGCATTTATAGGAGACAATTCAAATTTATTTACTATGGCATTTCCAGAATGTGCAGGGGTTTTTAAGCAATGTGCACAAAGTAAATCTAGTGGTGCAGAGAACAATTAAAATAATTTAAATTGGACATGAATTGAACCTAAGTTGCCTTCCACTTACTATTACTGCATGTGGTCAGTATTGCAAGCAAAGATGCCTGGTAACTTCAGAAGCAGGTGTGCTGCAATATTCTCAAAATACTGAGTCCTTGCAGAGCTATGACTCATTGAACCGCAGCTGTCTGAGGACTGTCTGAACATCAGCATAGGATAAGATCCTTTCTAACTCTCTTGGGAAACAGTCTAATCATCACTTTAAATTTCCAAGGGCAAGTCTTTAACAGTTTTTTTAGTAATCACTATTGAAGATGGTTTTTCTTTTAGCTGAAGACTTCACTACTTGTTTCTTAATGTCTTTTTAAACAAATATTTGTAACTGCTGGAAAGGCAATCTTTTTCTCCCTGGTAAAGGCCAGAAATGCAACTGTCTCATTCCTTGCACCTACTTTCTTCTAGGTATGTCAGACATGGGTCACTCTTACGGCTAATTTTTCTAAGAATTAAAGGGCAAAACTAGAAGGGATTTGAGACCCCTCAGGTATTATATGGATTAACAAAGATACAATCTGGACTGAAAAACTGTGGCAAGGTGCAGGTACTAAATAGCTGAATGCTGTACAGACTTGTTCAGATGTATCGCCCTACCACAGTAGATTGAGATTTCAGCCACACAAATCTGAAATCAGAGAGATAAAAATGGGCGAAGGATTGTCCTTTTACTAGGACTGTGTGGGACCATTTCAGCTACTGAAATGTTTTTGTAGCTGTTTTCATAGCAGAATATAGTGGGCACAGGTTTCTGATGTTACACATGGTGCCTCAGGTATTGAGCTAGAATCCAAGTCACAGTCACTTCACTAATGTGGGACTTGACCTTAAAACGCCTCCAGCTTGAGAAAATAAACCACATCTCTGTTACAGTCAGCTGGAACACAGATGAAGCAATACCTGGTAGTTGGTTTTATAGCTTTTTTATTGTGCTTCATGCCAATGAAGTTGTCATTTGATGACACTCTGGGCTAATGCCAAAATTACAAAATTCTGCATCACACCCGGGCACTCTTCATGGCTGGTGCCCAGACTGGAGGGCTGCAGTTCCTCACAGCCTGCACCATCAGGCAACTGCCTTATTCTTCCATACACCCCTGTAGGCCATCTGTGCATCTGTGCATCCTAACTGTGCATCTCCTACAACCCCACAGCTCCTAGTTCTCTGACAGCCCTCACTTTAACAGCTCTTAACATGATGGCAGTTGCCACTGAAGCTGTGAGATCGTCCAGCAGTTTTAGCTAGCTAGCTTAGATGTGTCTACATGGAGTATTCCATGTATAAACAGACAAGAAGAGACTGTCCCACCTCAACGACAGCTCCTCTTTAGGAAGAATTTCTTCACAGAAAGGCTGATTAGACATTGGAACGGGCTGCCATTGCGGTGGTCACCCTTTAAGGAAAGAATGTGCACTCAGTGCCGTGGTCTGCTTGGCAGGGAGATATACTTTTCCAACCTCATTGGTTCTGTGATTCTCATAGAATCACAGAATAATGAGGTTGGAAGAGACCTCTAAGATCATCAAGTCCAACCTATGCCCTAATACTTCAACTAGGTGCTATAGTATAGCACCGAGTGCCATGTCCAGTCTTTTTTTAAACACATCCAGAGATGGTGATTCCCCCACCTCCCTGGGAAGACAGTTCCAATACTCTATTATTCTTCGGGTGAAAATTTTTTTCCTAATGTCCAACCTATATCTTCCCCAGCATAGCTTGAGACTGTGTCCTCTTGTTCTGTCAGTGCTGCTCGGTGGAAGAGACCAATCCCAGCTGTCTACAACCTCCCTTCAGGAAGCTGTAGAGAGCAATAAGGTCTCCTCTAAGCCTCCTGTTATAAATGAAAATTTGTCCAGCTAAATTAAAGTGAAAAATAAAATATTTATTTTGCAATCGAATTCTATCTAGCCAGCCACAAGGAAAGAACAGAGCCGAGCCCGGGGTCGGCCCTGGGTGTGCAACAAGGAGTCAGGCTCAGCAGAGGCTTTCCTGTATGCCCACACATCTCCATCCTGGAACAAGCGGTTTTTACAGGGAAAATTCCGCCTGAAGCCAAGATTTCAGCAGTCTTTTCTTCCATTCAGAGTTCATAGGTTAATAAGATTTCTTTTTTGGTTATGAGGAAGAACAATTCAGTGTCCGGAGTTGTTGAATCCCTTGATGAAATTTATGGGAACGCTGCATTCACATGTATCTGCCCGAGGATTTCCATGATCTCCATCTCGGGTCGTTCACGCGATGATCAGCGCCTGGGTGTCCCGTATCCCTCCAGACACGGCTCATCTTTTGGCTGAGCCACATCCTTTTAGTTGGAAATCAGTTTCCAATTATGTTTACTACACATAACACTACTCTTTCCAGGCTGAACAAACTCAGTTCCTTCAAACGTTCCTCGCAGGGCTTGTGCTCCAAGCCTCTCACCAGCCTTGTTGCCCTCCTCTGGACGCGCTCAAGCATCTCAGCATCTGAAGGAGCGCTGAAATTCCGTGACGGCAGAGCTGCGTGCCTCTCTGCAGAGCCCCGGTGCGCGGCGGGGCGCGGCTCGGTGCCGCGGCGGCTCCGCGCTCACTTCCTGCGGGGGCGGGCCCTGCTCCGGCGGATGCGGGCGGGCCCTGGCGCTGGGCAAGGTGACTGCGGAGCGGCCGCGCCGAGCCGAGCCGAGCCGGGCCGGGCCGGGCCCCGCTGCGGCGGAGCGGGGCGGGAGCGCGGCTGTGCCCGGGGACGGGGCGGCGCGGGTCCGGCGGATCTCCGCGAAACGCGGGCGCAGCCACGGAGGTGCCGGCGCAGGTCCCCGGGAGAGCGGGAGCTCCCTCAGAGGGAAGGAAATGCGGGCGGGGCGTTCCCGGGATGTGGCGGGGTGTGGAAAATTGGGAGTGCCAGGGCTGGTTTGTGTAGCAAGTGAATGGCCTGAAGTGTCAGAGCGGGTTTAGGCTGGGTGTGAGGAAAAGGCTCTTCACCCAGAGGGTGGCTGGGACGGGCTCCCTAGGGAATGGTCACAGCACCAGTCTGACAGAGTTCAGGGAGCCTTCGGGCACATGGATACTTGTCCTACGCGGGAATAAGAGTTGGGCTCAATGATCTTTGTGGTTCCGTTCCAGTTCAGCGTTGGAGCCATCATATTCTGTGATTCTTGGTGTATCAGTGTTTGAAGAAGCAGAGGGGGTGGGTGATCCCTTGCACCAGGAAGGGGCCTGGTGAAGACATCACCCACACCGATGGGGGGAATGGTGGAGAGCGTTTTTTGCCCTAAAACACGTGCAGAGGTGTTTGAAGGTGTAGTTTGAGGGTGTAGTTTGATATTTGGTCACCTGCGCTGGGCTCTAGGAAGAGGCCCTGGGTGTGTGTGCACACAGGCGATGTAGAACTAATGGCTCGGCGGATGTGTGGAGAAGGGAGGTGGGAAAACACGTACTGGTGGAGGGTGTGGGAAGAGGTGAGGGCAGAATAACCTGTATGCCACATGGCAAAGCAAGTGGAAAGATGAAATTGCCCTCAGCACAGAGTGTAGAGACTGGGTCTTTGATTTTATAACCCAGTGTTTCAAAGGTGTGAATGTAGAATATAGAGCATACAGGTGGTGTAATTTGTTTGTGAAGCAGTGATCAAGGGGTGTCTCATGCTCTGAAGACTCCTGACAGAAATAGTAGCTGCTTGGCTGTTGTAAAGTCTGGCCCAGAATTTCCCAGTCTTAAAAAGTCCTTGAATGTGTAATAATCTAAAAGCTTTATGATGGGATATAGAAGAGCAGTAGACCAAAGCACATGGAGATTAAGTATTTCAAGTAGTCCTTCATGGAACACTGTTTTATTTCTTCTCTCTTCTGCTAAAGATTGCTAGTCCGTGCAAGGTGGAAGAGATAAACCTTGGAACAGGAAGATCCCCCAGCTAGAGAGTTCTATGTAGATCAAACTCGGTATATCATCAAACTTCTAGAAACTAAGAGGCAAATGTTAGTGATTCATTATTTCAGATAATTTTGGTGAACAGTCCTGAAAAGAGATGACTTGCCTGCAAAAGCTGATAAGAAATGCTAAAATCACAGCGGTAACAAAATTTTGTAGCTAGGGTGTCACAGCTCTGCTTGAAGGGATTTGCTGTTAATGACTGAAGAGATTTGGCCATTGCTTTTTGACTGTGAATAATGTCTGAAAATACAGAATTATTTTTGCATTTAGGCTCAGAAAACTTGGGAGTCAGGATGGAATAATGTCTTTTATTAAACTGTCATGTGGTAATACATCACATGTTTCTTTAGGAAGCATCCAAGTCATCCTAGAAGACAAAAACCATTTTGATTAGTGGCAAATTTCCACATGCAGTTGATAATTATATTGCATTGTTACCTACCTTATCCTAGGGTAAATATTTTGGTTCTTCAGATAAGCAGGTGTTTAAAATTGACAGCAATGGAAAACCTGTCTGCACCAAGGCCAGTGTGTGGCTCACTGGCAGCTTTTTGAAACTACTGTGCTACAGAGTTTTAAGGCAGTACTGGAAATAATTCTGCTTTGAAATGTAATGTTAACAGAAGTTGAAATGGACACGTATAGGAATTGCCTTTGATTCTTGTCAATTAAGACAGATTTGGAGTGTCTCAACATCTATGTCTAAAATTATTTCAAGAGACTATTATTACAGCCAAATACTAACTGTAGTTAAATGTGATCTTCATGCCTGGAAAGATGTGTGGGCAAGTGATTAATTTCTGTTGGATCTGTAGTTATGGTGAAAAAAGAGTTGTTTTTTTTTTTCAACTTACAGACCATCTGTTTTAGGAGATGGTATGTTCTATGTCTGCATGGAAGGTTTTTAGAATTTTAGACAATGCTTGAAGATAAAAGGAGGACAAAAACCTATTCTGCTTCTTAAGAGACTGCTTTGCATAAATGAAAAGAAACTGCATTGTCAGATTGGGTCTTGGTGGTCCTACCTTAGACAGGTAACTAGGGGTTAGTAGGCTTTGGATAATTTGCTTTGTCACTTCCTTATATTGCAGTTTGTACTTTGGCGTCTTGTTTGATGTAATATAGGACAGGTGTGCAGCAGTGGCCAACTGGAAGAGTTTTGTGAGAGGTTTGCCTCCAGGTATACTACGATTGTTCATGCAGTTTCAAAGACAAGCTTATAGGTGTGTCAGAAGTTGCATTCACATCTTGATCACCATTTTATTTGAATTATTGGCTGGATTTACATAAATAATGACAGGACCGCCTGCTCAGACCACCTCTGAAGAGAGGTTGTTTTAGAAATGAGGAAAAGCAGTGGGGTCTGTTAGATCTGAGTCTGGCTGGTGTCACTGCCAGTCTTAGTTTTGCAGAGCCAGAATGGATTGCAGGTGGATTAGAGATACCACTGGGACAACTTGGCATAGATTCCTGATCACCCTAATGTTGCTGTTACACCAAAGCATTGTTTTGTCACGTGTGATGAAACCTAAACTAATGTCTTAAAAATAGGGAAATCTTGAAAAGTTGCTGAATTTTGTAAGTTTCATGAGAGTGTTATGTCATAGTAGCCTTTTTTTTTTAGAACTTTACTGAAAAAATCTGAATGCAGTCTAAAAGGAGCATGGAATTGCTCCTGTTGATATAATCATGTACTCTCTAGCTTTCCTAGCTGGCAAAATCAGTAGAGACATTGATACTGCTTTGAGTCAAGGATAAGCAAGCCTTGTCCATTAATCCAGAAAAAGTTCTATCTGCCAAGTGGAGCAAAAATCTGACATAACATTAGATTTATACCAAAAAGATGGTACTTACTTAAACTCTTGCCAACACCTTAGTAATTTCTGATTGGGAGGAGGGGAAATCTTGGTTATTTTGATTTTCTGAATTATTGATTTTCTTAATGTACTTTGGCCTACAGAAGGGTATGTAAGGTGTTAGAAATTAATGTTTAACTTGCTTTACCTCACCAAAATGTGTTTAATGGAAGTACATAAACTGTCCTGGTCAAAAACTTTCTCTTTTTGTTTACTGAGTCTCAGTCGATCCATCTCAGCAATTTGTTCCATTCTTTTGTTTGGAATATGTGAGATTTTCTTTCTTTTATTTACTAAGGCAGAATAGTTTTTCTACTTATACCATCAGAAGAGGGAGAAGTCATTTTACTGTTTAATTACAGTTGAACTTCATAATACTTAAATATTCTTTATACAGAAATGTTATATACTATTTGTAGAAGTAGAAGTATTAAAATTGAGTTTTAACTAGGGAAAAAAATTTCTATTCTAAATTTTGGAAACAGAGCTTCGTTTGTTCTGTTAGGTACTAGATGTCCATTATAAGTGGAGTAGTTACTGTGTATCAGCACAGTGTGTACTGTTCATGAAGTGTATACCATTTGATTACTATTTTAAATTACTATTATTGATGACACACTTCCTGTTTTCTCTATTATGTCAGGAGGTCTACTTCAAGAATCTTTCAAAACAGAAACAAAAGGAAGTCATGGAGAAGAATGGAAACAACCACAAACTTCGTGTTTGTGTTGCTACTTGCAACCGTGCTGATTATTCAAAATTGGCTCCCATTATGTTTGGTATTAAGGCAGAACCACAGTTTTTTGAGCTTGATGTCGTAGTGCTTGGTTCCCACCTGATTGATGATTATGGGTAAGGTGAATTTTTATCTACCAGTATGTTTCTGAGGTGTTAGCAATGATAATATGTACATTAGGTAAAACGAACTCTTGGCATCATGAGTGTACACAAAAAAGTTTTACTTTTTTTTCCAGAATTTTATTTTGCAGCTCCTTATGAGTTTGCATATTTCATGCAGTCATTTTTTTCAGCCAGTCTTGGAATTCTAGAAAGTTTTGTGCAAATGATGTAATTGAGACCCCAAAAAGGATCACAAACTATACTAAGTGAGAAACTTATGTCCTGCATTTTTCCCTGAAACCTGGTGACTATCAAATGGAAATGTGCTACAGTTTTTAAATTTTCATAGAGAAAAGAGCCTCCTCAGTCATTTTAAATTGCACCTTTCCTGCTTTACAGTTATTGGAGGAAATACTCATATATTGCATATCTCAGGAGAACACTGTTAGTTCTTGCTTCCAGTATTGTGGAGGCAGGAAAGTGTGGTCATATGTTTCTGACAAAACGAATAACAAAATTATAGATATATGGGTATCTGTATGGGTAGGTGGGAGAGAATAGAGTCCCTGTCCATAGCTCTCCATAAGTAAGCAGTAAGATCACCCCTCCAGGAGGATGAGATGTTTTGGTCTGAATCCCTTCCCTTGGAAGAACTTCCTAGATCCCAGGTGGATATTCTCCTGATTTCTGGGGAAAAGGTAGAAGAAACAGCATGGATAGCCGTTCTGGGATTGTGGTTAGTTTTCCTCAGGCAGCATTTACCAGATTGGACCCAGTAAGTGAAGTTGATATGAGAACACATAATCTGGAAAAGAAAATCAGACTTTAGCTTAGGTCTGCAGTATATTGGCATTGTCGAACATTAGGAAATGTATAAGCATATAGATTATACATGTAGAGATACTTTTTTTCATGTAGAGAAACTTCTTGTACTTTCCACTGAGAAATTTTGGCATTTTGTAAGCCAGGATAGGAGGAAGTTATATTATCTCAAACTGCTAAGACAGGATGTTCCACTGGTGACTGTTCTCTTTCTGCACATTATAGCACTCTGCTCCTTGCTTTGTATGGGATATTGTTTCCATCCAGTAACATGGCAAGGTGAATTCAACATCACAAAACTAACTGATTCAAAACAAAACCAGACCAAAAAAAAACCAAAAACAAAACAAAAAAATACTAGTTGAACTTCTTAACAGGTTAGTATGTTGAATTGCACCCTGTCTGATTGGAGAAATAAAGTAATCCCATTTCATTTGCTAAAAAGCACAAACACAGTCCTGATTTCTACATATCACATAACCCTTGCCTGCCTGCGAGCCTTGTGCAAAGTAATGCAAAATACTACTTTTCCAGTTCCAAGGTGTTTAACGTTTGTCTCTGTATTGTGAATGATTTGTAACGCACAAAGCAAGCAGTAGAGATTTTGATCTGGCAAATGTTTTTGCTGTTAGTTACTTCATAGAAAGTACTCTAAAAGTCAGGGACTTCTTGGGGTTTTCTCAGGGCCTAGCCCTGCAGCCCTTAATCTGGGTCATCCTAGGAAATTAGTGGGTCCTCAGAACATATATGTTCTAGTGATGTGAATGAATCTCTAGTGTAGTGATTTAATCAACAGTAGCAGAAGTCAGATGATAGTGATCCTGTGAAGTGTCTCGTACTGAAATGTTTGGAGAATAATAAAGGAAACAAAACTACCAGAAATGCACAGTCTTGCTTGTCTTTTGATTTTCACCTTTCAAAAGGCAAAGAATACAAAAACAAAGAGCAAATAAGTTTTCTGAGATAAATGTACATAATCAGGAAGATGGTAGGTCTGTGAAGGATATTTGTAAATGGAGTTGGAAATGCAATGAAATTTATGCTATATAAATGCAAGCCCCTTTACTCAGTAAAATAAAAAGGATATGCTTTAAAAGAATAGAGAATCTGAAATAACATGCTACCTGCAGGATGTTTTCTGTAAACATACTGGCCTCAGCTTTGCCTCACATTGGTTGTTGTATTTATAGAGTTGTCCACAGAAGAGTCAATAAACATACCCTTTCTGACAGGAAATCAGGCCACATCTATTCTCTGAAAGGCCCAGTGGACACATGAACAAAGAGTTTGATTTCTAAGGATTTCCACAGTACGTTCCACACAGTTCCTCTTTAAAGGTATCTAGAGAAACTGGATGTTTGGAATATTAGGGAGGATCTTCACATGGATGAGAATATTCTGTTAAAATCTTAAAAGCTACTTTCCTCAGTGAAGAAGATGTGGAAAGCAGGGCCCTTTTTTCAGCCCCAGTACAGCTGTTGTAATTTGTGTTTATTTTGTGAGGAATATTGCTGCAAAATCAAGTTGTATTTACTCTAACAACCCTTTTTCTCTGACCTTCAGCAATACCTATCGTATGATTGAACAAGATGACTTTGATATTCATACAAGATTGCACACCATCGTGAGAGGGGAGGATGAGGCAGCTATGGTGGAGTCGGTGGGCCTTGCGTTAGTCAAGTTACCCGATGTCCTCAACCGCCTGAAACCTGACATAATGATAGTTCATGGGGACAGATTTGATGCTTTGGCCCTGGCCACGTCTGCGGCCCTGATGAACATTCGCATTCTTCACATTGAAGGTGGGGAAGTCAGCGGGACCATCGATGACTCCATCAGACATGCCATAACCAAACTGGCCCACTACCACGTGTGCTGCACCAGGAGTGCAGAGCAGCACTTGATAGCCATGTGTGAAGACCACGACCGCATCCTTTTAGCAGGCTGTCCCTCGTATGACAAGCTCCTCTCTGCCAAAAACAAGGACTACATGAGTATTATTAGCATGTGGCTAGGTAAGCAGGTCACTTTTTATGTTTTTCTCACATGCCTTCAACACTAGATTAACTCAGTAAGTAGGCTGTCAGTCAAAAAGTAATATATATTTTTTAATAGTACCTGGTATGTCTTTCTACATTTGCCTTCATTCTGTATTCTGTCATGTATAACTAAAAAGCTACAAATCATTTCCGGACCTTCTGCCAAGTCAAAAAATAACTCCTTAAATGGGTAATTTCTCAGAGCTGAACAATTTAAAAGCAGAACAGTCTTACATGAGCAGTTACCTTAGTGTAGTAGAGTTTTTGTTGAATAGAATCAAAGCTGTTCAGTCCTATTAAAAAAATCATACAGAATTTGTATTATGAAACTTTTTTTGAGGAATGCACCAAAACAGGATAACATGCATCAAAGGCTTTTGGTGTTTGATTCTCACTGACTTAGAAATACTTCCTGTAAACAGTGGAGTTTTGTGTTTTCTTTTTATCTTTGACAAAGCGGTCTCCTGTATGGCTACCATGTGTAGAAGCTGCAATCTTCTTCAGTCAGTATGTTTTGCGGATAAAGGTTTATCAAACGTACTAAGACAAGTATGATTGACTCTTTTAAAGCAGTGGAAATTAAGTCTTTGCTTGAGAATGGACATTTGACAGAAAATCAGAGCGACTTCAAGAGTTACTCCAGATTTATAGTGGTGTGAGAACAGGCACTTGGTCCTGGTGTAGTCTTGGAAAGCTTCAGAAGTATCCTTGCAAGTTAACAGTTTGTTGACATTTAGGTAGTGGTCTCTGAAGCTATGAGATATGCTTAGAGAGGCAAATAACAAGTTAGGCTACCTTGTAACTCCCTTAATTTTTGTTCTAGCATTGATCCATATTAGATATATCCCTTTTCAGGGTTTCACATCTGTAGTTCCGAAAGTATGTCCTTCCCTCCTCTTGCTGTTCTAAACCGATAAAAAAACTTTTCTTGCCCTCCATTTGGACAGGTGAAGATGTCAAAACGAGAGATTATATAGTTGCTCTGCAACATCCTGTAACCACAGATATTAAACATTCCATAAAGATGTTTGAGCTGACACTAGATGCACTCATCTCCTTCAACAAGAGAACACTTGTTCTATTCCCTAATGTGGATGCAGGTGAGTAGAATACCTTCATGACAGAGTGACACATAACAGATTGTCTTCAAAAGAGTGCTTTTATCCCAGGCCCTCCAGCCAGATGGAAATAGCTCAATTGTGTCAGCCTCATGGGTGCATCTGCTACAGCTCTATGTTCACATGGCTGGAGACATTTCAGTTTTTCAGTGTGGGAAGGAAAATGAGAGAAACTACGTGACTTGTAGGAGTAATATTAGTGCCTCTTAAATTAGCTTAAAACTGCAAAGATACTTTTGCAGTGAATTCTTGTATCAAACTTTGGCATATGTGCTGAGCTAAATTATTTAGTGTAAGGATAAAAAAGAGCAAAAATCCATTCAGAGCTGGCAACTCAGTGAGTGGCTGGCTACTAGATTCTTTGTGGTGCCTGGACTTTGGTTTTAAAAGTAGAACTTAAATAATTTATTCTACTTTGGTTTTCTGTAGGAAGCAAAGAGATGGTTCGTGTGATGAGGAAGAAGGGCATTGAACACCATCCCAATTTTCGGGCAGTAAAGCATGTGCCATTTGACCAGTTCATTCAGCTGGTTGCTCACGCTGGTTGCATGATTGGTAACAGCAGTTGTGGTGTCAGAGAGGTGGGAGCGTTTGGGACACCAGTCATCAACCTGGGGACACGTCAGACGGGAAGAGAAACAGGTACATGTTTGCTTAACTAGTGTGTAATGCAGGACAGTGTATCAGGGGTGTCACTTGCTTTAGTGGACGCAAGGGGAGGCACAGAACTGATACAGAGTGATGTCTGTCTCATGGGCGTCTTGCCCTCACAGAGGAAATAAACCAAACTTTTTTTCCATTTCTAAAGCGGCTCATACTCCAATGCAATTTGAGCATCTGATCTGTCCCATTATGTTAATTTTTGTCATCTAGGTGAAAATGTTCTTCATGTTCGTGATGCTGATACACAGGATAAGATTCTTCATGCTCTACAGCTGCAGTTTGGGAAGCAATATCCATGGTGAGTACATTCATCTTAATTCATTGGAGGGGATGTTAAAGCAGTAGAGTAAAAGGCATTTAGTCCTGAGGTGTTTCATCATATTTGATTGGAGTGCTTTTAATGCACTCATCTGAGGTTACAAATGATTTTTCATTTCAGAACCATAAAGTGATATCTGGTATGCAGTAGTATTTATAGAGCAAAAAGTTACTAGTAATGTTTCAATACAAGTATTTAACATCCAACAGAAAGTCAAAAGGACAAAATTCATATTAACCTAGACCAGTGTGATTTGGAAAGCTTGTTCTTTAGGGGCAGCATGGGAGAGAACATCCTTTTTGCCTATTTTCCTGGTGCCTGAAGGACACTTTTTCATGTGGGTACAAATGATACTGAAAGCCAAAAAATCATCAGGATCAAGGAAGACTATAAACCCCTGGCTAGGCACATGAAAAACATCTCTGCCCAAGTCACCTCCTCATGTGTCCTGCCAGTTAGAAAAATCAGGACAGCCAGACACATTGTGCAGACCAATGTCTGGGTTTATGGATGGTGCTATCATGAAGGTTTTGGCTTTTATAACAGTGGGTTGTGTTTTTATGATTTTTAGCCTGTTACAGGGGTATGGGATCCCCCAGCTAAAAGGGGCAGAGAGTCCTTGGCAGCAGGCTGCCCAGTCTGGTGAGATGGACTTTAAACTGAAGGACTGGGAGTCAGGGTGCAAATGGCAACAATTAAAGTCAAGGTGCAAATGGCAATGATTAGACTTCAAGCTGAAGGACTGGGAGTCAGGGTGGAAATGGCAATGATTGCACCATTGCTTCCTCCTGGGGAGCAGGTCATAGCAACACTGCAGAGACAGATGTTCCTTGGCTGCAGCTCAGATTGAAGATATCTCTTGTTTTGAGGCAATTTCAAGAGATGGGCACTCTGAAATGAGTAACTTCCCCCTTGATTCCAACCAATCCATTTCCACCAGTAAGGAACAACACACAAGTACAACACACAAGTAGATGCAAGTGAAAAAATAACAGTTTATTAACAAAAAAAAAAAAAAAAAAAAAAAAAAACAAAAACAGGGGAGGGAAAAAAAGTAAATAACTGTTAGATACCAAACTGCTAAATCTGACAACCCCACGGGAACAAAGAGAGACCCGAAATGCCGGAAATAACTGTTCCTGAAGTGGTGTCTGCAAGAGGCAGCTGCATGGCTGAAGGACAAAGGGAAGGTGGCATCTCACCCCTCCAGGATGGTGCCTCCCAGGTGACCAGACATTTGCAGGAACAAAGAGGCAAGATGGTGAGATCCCCCACTGGGAGGGCAGGGGTCTGCAGAGCAGTTCTGGAGGCAGATGGAAACTTGCTGGTTCAAGTGGCTGCTGCCACTTCCTCCTGCTGTCCCTGGGCTCAGCCAGCGCTGCTGCCATGGTCTTCTCCCATAGTCTTTTCTCATGGACTGAGGTGAGGCCAGCCCCTCTCTGCAGCAGCAGCAGGGCACATACAGACTTTGCCCCGAGACAGCCCAGAATCACCAGCTGGTGTCCCTCTGAGGCAAGCAGGAGGAAAACTGAAAAGAGAACCCAAAAAGGGAAGAGAAAAAAACTCTGCCAGAACAAAGATGAAACAGCCCTCAAAGCAAACACTACACAGCAAAAGGCAGGAAACTGCCTGGGCAAGGTGATTTTGAAAATGCCTGTAGTCACCCCCACGCCTGCCACACACACACAGAGTCTCCAGCTGCAGGGTCTTGAAGAGACAATAATGATTTTTTTGGCACAGATAGATACGGAATACAGTAACATTATAGACCACTCCAGGACAGGATCATAGGGCAAAACACGTCAAGGGTTTTTATTACTCTGGTGTGCTTGACTCTCACACCCCTTCAAGCAACCTGATTGTTAGATCTTCTGTGAAGTGCCTGTATACTAATGCACACAGCAAGTGGTATAAACAAGGCAATCTAATAAACTAGAAATCTGTGTGAGGTTGCAGAGCCAATCGTGATCTGATTGGAGTTATGGTGACATACCTGAAATGTTGTCATGGATGGCTATGTGTTTTTTAGAGAGGACAGGTCAGAGAAGCAAGGTGGTGGAGTTGCTCTTTGTGTGAGAGAGCAATTGGAATGTATCAGGACCCTACTCAGGGACAGATGAACAAATTGAGAGTTTATGGATGAGAATTAAGAGACAGGCTAATACGGGTGACACTGTTGTGGGCATTTACCAGAGGCCACCTAATGAAGAGGAGGAAGTTGATGAGACTTTGTGTGGGCAAGTGAAATAGCCTTACAGTCACAGGCCTGTGTTCTCCTAGGAGACTTGTACCTGATATTTGTTAAAAGTGGCAATACAACTTGGCACCCAGTTCAGGAAGTTCCTGCAGATTAGTGCAGATAATTTTGATGCAGTGGTGGAGGAGCCAGTGAGGAAGGGTGTGTTCTGGACCTTTCACTAACAAACCAAGAGGCACTGGTTGAAGATGTAAAGGTTCTAGGGACAGCATTGGCTGCAGTGACCATTAGAAACTGAGAATCCTGCATTGGGAATGCAAAATAGCAAGCAGGATTAGAACCCTAAACTTGCAAAGAGCTAACTTTGAGTTCTTCAAGGCCTATTTGGAGGAATCTGATGGCTTAAGACTCCAAATGGAGGAGCGTGTCCAAAGAGCTGGTCAGTATTCAAGCATCACTTCCTCAGACCTCAAGAGCAGTGCATCCCTGTGATCCAGAAATCAGGCAAAGAGGGCTGGAGACCTAAATAGATGAGATTCTTGTAAAACTCAAACAGAAGAAAGAAATTTATAGGATGTGAAAAAAGGGACAGGCCACATGGGAGGACTATAGGAACATTGTCAGAATATGCAGGGATGTGAGAAGGAAGGCCAAAGGCCACTTGGAATTCAGTCTGGGTAGGCATATAAAGGACAAGAAGGACTCCTACAAATTCATCAGCAGCAACAGGAAGAATAGGGTAGATGTGTGGCTGCTGCCGGATCATATGGGTCTCCTGGTGTTGGAAGTCACTGCAGAGGTAGAATTATTGAATGCCTTCTTTACCTCAGTCTTTACTGCTGAGAACGGCCCTCATGAATCCAGACCTCAGAGGTAAGAGGAAAAGGTTGGAGAATGGAAGACTTGTTTGTAGAGGGTTGGGGTAGAGATCAGCTAGGGAGATTAAACACCCATAAATACACAGACCTGATGGGATGCACCTACGTGTGCTGAGGGAGCTAGCAGATGTTGATAAGCCAGTCTCCATTATCTTTGAAAAATCATGGAGTGGGAGAGATGCCTAATAACTGGAGGAAGGCCGGTGATTCTCCCATCTTCAAAAAGGGCTGGTGGGAGATGTGGTGGTTGGGAGCCATTTGGGATACAGTGGTCATGCAATAATAGAATTCTCAATAACTGCTGAAACAAGGAGGGACACCAACAAAACTTCCAACTGGACTTTGAGAGGACAGACTTTGGCCTGTTCAAGAGGCTGATTTGGGAAGATCCATAGGAAGCAGCTCTTAAAAACAAGAGGGTCCAGGATGGATGGACATACATCAAGAAATTAATCTTGAAGGTACAGGAGCAGGCTGTCCCTGTGTGCCAAAAGACGAGCTGTTGGAGAAGATGACTGGCCTGGATGAATAAAGAATTTCTGAAGGAACTAAGGAAGAAAAAGATTATGACCTTTGGAAAAAGGGGCAGATAATTCAGGAAGTGTTCAAGGATGTGGCTAGGTCATGTAGGAAAAAAAAAATCTAGGGAGGTAAAAGCCCAATTAAAACTTAATCTGGTGTCTTCTATGAAGAATAATAAAAAATATTTTTATAAAGACATTAATGGCAAAAGGAGAGGCAGGAATAATCTCTATTCATTATTAGATGGGAATTTAGTAAAGATGAGGAAAAGGCAGAGATACTTAACACCTTCTTTGCCTCAATTTTCAACAGTGAGACAGGTTGTCCTCAGGACAGCTGTCTTCCTGGGCTGGTAGATGGGGACAGGGAGCAGAATGGTCCCCCTCTTATCCAGGAGGAGGCCGTCAGAGACCTGCTGAGCCACTCAGATGCTCACGAGTCTATGGGCCCAGATGGGCCACCCCAGGGTGATGGGGGAGCTGGCAGATGAGCTTGTGAAGCTGCTCTCCATCATTTACCAGCAGTCCTGGCTCGCTGGGGAGGTCCCAGATGACTGGAAGCTGGCCAGTGTGATGCCTATCCACAAAAAGGGCAGGAAGGAAGATCCAGGACACTGCAGACCTGTCAGCCTGACATCAGTGCCTGGCAGGATTATGGCACAGATCATCTTGAGTGTTGTCACATGGCACCCACAGGATGGCCCAGCATGGATTTAGGAGGGGCAGGTCCTGCCTGACCAACCTGATCTCCTTTTATAACCAGGTAACCCACCTGATGGATGAGGGGAAGGCTGTGGATGTTGTCTGCCTGGCCTTCAGCAATGCCTTTGACACCATCTCCCCGTAGGACTCTCCTGGAAAAGCTGCAGCCCACGGCTTGGACAGGAGCACTCTGTGCTGGGTTAGGAACTGGCTGCAGGGCCAGACCCAGAGAGTGGAGGTGAATTGTGTCACATCCACTTGGTGGGCAGTCACCAGTGGTGTCCCTCAGGGGTCTGTGCTGGGGCCAGTCCTGTTTAATATCTTCACTGTTGATCTGGATGAGTGGATCGAGTCCACCATCAGTAAATTGCAGATGACACCAAGCTGGGAGCGAGTATTGATCTGTTAGAGGGTAGGGGGGCTCTGCAGAGGGACTTGGACTGGCTGGATAGGTGGGCCAAGTCCAATGTATGAGGTTTAACAAGTCCAAGTGCCAGGTCCTAGACTTGAGTCACAGCAAGTCCCTGCAGCCCCACAGGCTGGGGACAGTGGTTCTGTTACTCTGTTATCTGGGGTCTGGAGCATCTCTCTTATGAGGAGAGAGAGAATGTGGAAGCCAACCCTGTCTAGGCAAGACACGACACAACTGAGAGGCGAGATCTCTTCAATACATAAAAATATCTGCAAGGCACCTGCAAGGTGCCCAGAGGATGGTGCCAGACTCTCCTCAGTGGTTCCCAGCAACAGGACAAGGAGTAATGGCCATGAACCAAAACACAAATTACACCTCAACATGAAGAAGAGCTTTACATTGAGGGTGGCAGACCACAGGCAAAGACTGCCAGATTGTTGTGGGGTGTCCGTCCCTGGAGACATTAAAACCCCACCTGGATGAGCTCTTGTGTCACCTGCTCAACATGACCTGCCTTGGGGGGGATGTTGGCCAAGATGATCTCAAGAGGTCATTTCCAACCCAAGCTATTCTGTGCTTTTGTGACACAGTACTCAATAGCTGATTTGATCTCATGATGTGTAGAGAGTTCTAAGTGCAAGCTTCCAGGGAAGTTGCAGAATTCTGGCAAGGAGCTTTTCCATTCCTCAACCCCAATGAGTATTGACTCTCCTTCCTCTAACATGTAAGTTCTTACAGACTTTGATAGCTATTTGCTCAACTAAGGACCAGGATAAAACCAGTATTTCTTAATAATCTAAACAGAACAATTAAACCGAATTCTTTAATACCAAGTAACTGATGCCATGTATGATATTTTAGGGACAGATATGTTGAAAACTGACATGAATATACAGTTTATTATTACATAGTTGGCATCTGTATAATAAGTACATCTTATTTGATTTCTAGCACATACATGAACTGTCCAGATTTTTATTTCTGTTTTATTTCTGTGGTTCCCTTCATTACCGTTAATTTTACAGGGGTTTTGGTATCATTAGTTTCCAGTTTTCTACCTTCCAGTTTCATATTCCAGAATTACTGAGCTAATGCCAGACCTTAAAATCTGTGTGTGTTCTTTAAACTACTGTAACTATGCACCATGTCTCATGACAGTCTGTCAAAGTGTGAGCTGCAGTATTGGCAGAGTAGCCAGGTCATAATATTGTAATGACACTGTTACACTCTCCTGTCATACATAGAGATTGCAGTGCTATTTCCAATTACATGAATTCTTTTTTGTATTATAGCTCAAAAATATATGGAGATGGTAATGCTGTTCCAAGGATTTTGAAGTTCCTTAAATCTATTGACCTCAAAGAACCACTGCAAAAGAAATTCTGTTTTCCTCCTGTCAAAGATAATATCTCTCAAGATATTGATCATATTCTAGAGACACAGAGTGCTCTGGCAGTGGATCTAGGCGGAACAAATCTCCGAGTAGCAATTGTCAGTATGAAGGTAAATATTCTGTTGTGCTGCTGGATATTCTGCAAACTCCACTGGGCTTTGTGGATATGGGCTTGTGATGCAAGAGTTCCAAAACGAAGCAGTCTATTGACTTTTATTAAGGGATAAAGAAGATTTCTCCCCTTCTTTCCTGCCTCTCATAGAGTCCTGATAGAACTTGCTAAGACTGATGTTTAACTAGCAATGCCCATTTGGTGGTGCAAGGTTTTAGCTGCTGCTTTGTGGGTTGACTACAGACTTTGAAGAATAGAACAGCTTTCCCATGTATTGGTTCTCCTTAAAAGGTGACTCGGTTCAACCTGCAAGTTTTTGTATGTCAAGCAAAACGTGGAAGGCTCCAGTAGTAGACTTTTTGCTTCTCCACTGCTTTACACTTCAATTACACTTGTAATTGACACACAAGACCATTCTGAGCAACAACCAGCATCTAGCAAATCAGTTTAGTGAACTCTGCAGCATTTCAAAGATGTGAATAAAATTCATGATGAGAAGTCTTTTGCTTTTGCTCTCAACAGTATTGAATAATTACACGTACAGTTACACTCCATATTTGCAGGTAACTACATCAGTTCAATAATAGTTGCTCAGAAGGCAGAATAAGGTGCCTTGAAGCATGATGGGTTATATAAAGGACCTGATACAGTCCAGAATTCATTTAAGAGATGTCTGACAGATCTTCAAGGCCTTAAAGACAGCTTTTAAAAGTGTAATATTTTTAGAAGCAAAATTGACACCACATTTTTCCTATGAGTCAACACAGACTGGAAAAAAATAATGTAAAAAAAATTCTGCCCACTTTACAGAGCTCAAAGTGACATTTGTGAAAATTGAAACGCTAGCAAATTAGAGTGAAAACAATCAGACTTTCATAATAAAATTTACACAACAAATATAAGCATATAAGAGCCAGTGGCAGAATATGAGATTTAATTTTATTTTCATAAAAAAAGGAAATTTAACAATTCCTTTTAGAAGCCCTTATCTCTTGTGATAATATTTGCTGCAACCTTGTCTTCCAAAACAAGTTCCCTGATGCGCCCTCGAAACTAAAAGTGAGGAAGAAACTAAGCATCCAAAATCCACAAACTCTATCACTTGTGTGATACTGAGACAGTGGAGCTGGGTACTCAAACCCATTGTCAGTTTGGAATTTTCCAAGTTCTTTGGCAACAGTGACTCAGCCATGTTGCCTATAGACTGTCTTTGTTACCCCTCTTTGCGGAGTTCATTAATTCAGTGCAGTTCACTGAGATACATGGTACAGGAGATTTAACAGAGAGAATTACACTGTTACACAGGATACCTTCAGCAGTCTCCTGGCTTAATCCGTGGTGTAAACATTGAATTAAGATCAATGTTTACCTTGGTACCAATCTTAGTACCGAGATTCCAAGCAGGCACCATGAATACTTTCATTACACAGCATGACTGGGGTTGAAAATAATCTTCATGGCCCCTCCACACCCTCTCCAAAGTATTTTCAAGGGCATGTAGTGACAGGAAAAGGGGGAATGTCTTCAGCCTTAAAGAGGGTGGGATTAGATTAGATATTAGGAAGAAATTCTTTATTGTGAGGCAGGGGGACACTGGAACAGCTTGTCTAGAGGAGTCTGGGATGCTGCATCCCTAGAAATTTCAAGGCCAGGTTGGATGGAGCTCTGAGCAACCTGGTTTGGTTCAGTGTCCCTTCCCATGGTAGGGAGTTGGAAATGGATGATCTTTGAGGTCCTTTTGAATCGAAACTATTCTATGATATATGACACTTTATTGCAAGTGACTCAGAAGTGTAATTGCTTAGAACATATTTCTGAAAATATATAGTCTTTTGCCTTGAAATTTCTAGCATTTCTGCTGTCTGATTCTGCTTTCATGCAGTCAGATTGAAAAGATTTTATTTTTAAAGCACTGTGGGGTTTATGTCCTTTTTAGCAATTGTTACTCTCTTTTTTTAACATTTCACTGTTGATCTTAAGTACATGGCTCTATCATGGTTTATGCCTAACAACAGTTGCAGCAGCTCTGGTGATACCTGCTCACACAAGCCATGTGTTCCTTAAAGTGTGTATTTAATGTCAGATGGGAGGTTGATTACAGAAGCAGAATGTAGTGCCTCATCTTATAAACTTGGCCCCCAGAGCTGTCAAGAACATTGCCTGTAGGCCCAAAAACTAAAGTATAGCTTCTGTGGTTTTTTTAAAGTGGTAAGTTATGGCTCTCTATTTTCAAATTTACTTGTAATTTGTGTGGAAGAGAAATTTCACCACCACATACATTCCTCTGGGGCATGTTTTGTTGTTTTTAATTTCTAGGGTGAAATAGTTAAGAAGTATACCCAGCTCAACCCCAAAACCTATGAAGACAGACTAGCATTAATTTTAAAGATGTGTGTAGAGGCTGCATCAGAGGCAGTAAATGTAAACTGCAGAATTTTGGGAGTAGGTAAGTTAACAAATAGTTTTTACATCTATATTTTTCAACATTAAATCACTACTCATTAATTTAAAACGCCTCTCTAAAATGAATCTCATGTACCTTAAGTTCTTACATATTCTTAACAAATAAATGTTTCTAAATGGCTGAAAATGAGAAGCTGACTACAAAGACTGAAGTTTCTACAGTTTGTAACAACCATTAAACAATCCGTTAAGTTATGGTAAACTATATCTAAAATGTGTTTTTGTAGTACTCTGGATTTTGAAGCTCTCAGCAGTCTTGGCCTTGTTAATCAGATGCTCAGTGTTTATCAAAACAGCACTTTGCTGTCTGTAAGCCTTCCTTTAGGGCTAGGATCAGCTGTGCAGCAGAATTTTCAGATACACCAAGGCAGACTAAAAAGGCTATAGTGTTAGGAGTAAATCTGTAGCCAACAGAGAATACAGCAGCCCTTCTGCTGACTTTTAGTTCACTTGCAGTACCCTTCTGTGCTAAACTATGCTTATATCAGACATGACTTCTTCAGTTTGATGGTGACTAGGAGATTTGGCCTTAGATACTAGTTATTTATGACGATGTTGATTAATGTGTCGTGGATTTTTAAGAAGGACATAGAATATTTATTTTAGCTGAGAAATGTTCCTGAAGAAAAGTAGTTTGTTCGAGATGAAAACTTACCTGAATCACACACTACAAAGAAAAGTTAACATGGACATGTGTGCTTTAAAAACAATGTTACGTACACAAAGCTGTGAGGAGAAATGTTAGCCCTTCAAATCACATCTTTCTTACACCTTTAATGTTCAATTCAGCTGCTAGTTTTAGAGCTTTTATGGCTGCTTTCTGTTATAGCATTAACCCTGGAACCATCTTCATATGTGACTCAGTTATATAAGCCCTGTACAAGAAAATGTTCAAACTTTACTGTCTAGAGCTAAATACCTCCATAATAAAGACCTGCTTTTCAGTGGTCCTTCCACCAACTCTGGGAGCCTCCCCAGCTAGGGAAAACTGGGTTGGCTAATAGAGCCTAATACTGGCCTACTCTATTCAGTAGACAAATCTCTGAACACAGTTTTGATCTTTCACAAAACCAGTGTGTTTTTAAGGAAAAATCACTAGGTATAGTAATTACTTTTAGTCATTCTAAATCTTGAGAGTTACAGCGGACTTTTGGACACTTAACAGTATTCCAGGGTTTGAATAATTTATTTTTGCTGTTACATCTTTTGTACACCAGTAACAAGAAACACAGCTGTTAGGTGATTTGCTGCAATCTTGCCTGAAGCAGGAACATTAACTCTCCAACATTAACTACTACCCATCTAGTTAGTCTTAAGATACTTGGTGCATTGTGGTTAGAGGTGTGGCATTCTATGAACTATCCTCTTTACTTTGAGGGTGACTGAGCACTGACACACACTGCCTGGAGAGGTTGTGGAGTTGTCATGTCTGGAGATATTCAAAACCCACATGGACAGAATCCTGTGACACTTGCTGTAGGTGAACGTGCTTTAGCAGAGAGGTTGGACTAGATGATCTCCAGTCGTCCCTTTCAGCGCAAACCATTCAATAATTTTGTGATCTTTACATGTCAAAAGTTGAGTATTTCCAGTATTTAAAAGTTGAATACTGCCAGCAATACTTCAAAAATTTTTACTTTCATGCTCTGCTTCAAAGCCTTTGTCATTAGAGAAAGAAAAATAGATTATTACTTAAAGTGTCTCATACAGATTTGGTTTTCATTTTTCTCGCCTGTATTTTTGGGACTTAGGTATTTCCACAGGTGGACGGGTAAACCCTCGAGAAGGAATTGTGCTTCACTCTACAAAACTCATTCAGGAGTGGAGCTCTGTGGATCTCAGAACTCCTATATCTGATGCTTTGCACCTGCCAGTCTGGGTGGACAATGATGGAAACTGTGCTGCTCTAGCAGAGAGGAAATTTGGTCATGGAAAAGGAATAGAAAATTTTGTAACACTGATTACTGGTACAGGTGTGTATGTCGTAGTTCAATGACACCCAAAGTCCAGCACCATCACTTAGAGGCTCAGGTGTTCTATAGGCATAAACATTACCACTATGCCTGGAAAACCAAAAGTTCTTTTGCTACACTATTTGTTTGGTTTAGGGTGCTTTTTAATATATTCAGGCAAAAAAAAAAACCACTTCCATAGTTTAGACTTTTTGGTGAAACGAGTTCTGGTACTGCTACAGAGGCAAGTAAGGAAAATCTGAGCAACTTCAACTGGAATAATTCTGCATTTTCCAGCTTTACAGCTTAATTCTCTTTCCACTTTAGAAATACAGAATATGTATCTAGAAGATAAGCAATATAAGAAAGTATGCTTAAATCTCAAATGCAAATGTGGGGTAACTTTTCTCATTTGCTAAATATGTAGTCCTTTAGATGGTGGCAGTAGGAACTTGCTGGTGAATCTACACCCAGTTTGGGAAGGGGCAGCAGAGGCCTGCACATTTATCTGTCCTGGCCCTTTAACACACAGGTTTAACTGTCTAAATACAAAAATGCAAAATTTTAAGGCCAATTTGGATAGTTTTCTGTTTAAAGAGCATGACTCACAAACTTAAAAGATCTGTCATAGTTCAGTAACATCCATAGGTTTTTAAAAAAATACAAGCATTATATACCATTTTGATAAATATATGAACAGGAGGGAGCTATGACCTTGTCTATTACGAGTTTCAAATCACTGAAGCAAATTATTTTATCTTGTCTATATCAGAATAAGCAAATATCAGTGTCTTGTAGAACTGGGACCTTTAGAAACTGTTGGGGAGCAGGGGGTGTTTATCTTTTTTTTTTTAAACAAATTAAACAAAGTCTTAATATCTTTGCAGGAATTGGAGGTGGAATCGTTCATCAACACGAATTGATCCATGGCAGTTCTTTCTGTGCTGCTGAGCTTGGGCACATTGTTGTATCCTTGGATGGACCAGAGTGCCTGTGTGGCAGCCAAGGATGCATAGAAGCCTATGCCTCAGGAATAGCATTGCAGAGAGAAGCTAAGAAACTGCATGATGGTATCTATTTACTCTGGGTTTGAAAACACAGTTACTAAACTGCAGTATAGGAAGACATTTTCAAAGAAGGTATTAAGAAAATAATTCTGCCTTCTTTTTTCTAAGAGGAGACAAGAACAGGTGCACAGATCTTTTTCAGTAGCAAGGAACATTTGGAACCACTGGTCTCAGAATTCCCAGAAGCACACAGTAGAGCTTGTCTCTTCTTTTTAAGCTTGACATAAACTAATCTGTCAGGCATTCTGTGACATTTAGTTTCACAGTGATTGTCTTTCAGCAAAAGCTTTTCAGTCTTAAAGACGTTTGAGAATATTTATATTTTATTTATTTTTGGGTCTAACAAGACTAATGAATTACCACACTCTTAACTGTTCGAGTTTGATTCTCTGCTTCTGCAAGTTAGTGTCCTGAATAATACAATTACTTCAGCTAAACTCAGGGTTGGACACATTGTTCAGGATTCAGTATACAAGTAAAAGAGATGGAAATGTTTTATTTGCCTTTTTTTCACACTCTGACTTGCCACATGATCATGTTTTGCTCTTGGCTTTCTCTCCTTTTCAGATGATCTGCTTTTAGTAGAAGGTATGTCAATGAAGGAGGAGGAGATTGTTAGTGCTGCGCACCTTATTCAAGCAGCTAAACTTGGGAATACAAAAGCAGAAAGCATTCTCAGAACAGGTGAGAACATAGCCTAGAGGGTAAACATTTCCACAATTGTATTTTAGAAGGTACAGAAATGATAGTGCACTGTAACACTACAAGAATCCTCTACATGTTGAGGCCCTCTCAATATAGAAATTACTAATGGTAATGAGATTTTAAATATATATGTTGGAGAAAATGTCAGCAGAAGTGTTAAAAGTATCTGTTTAGAAAAAAAAATACTAAAAGGCTCTGCAAAGATCAGTTTAAAAAAGAAGTCTCAAAATTATCATAATGGAAAATTCTGGGGACATTTCATTGTAGGCAAGTGAATGGCTGGTCTGAGGTAGCAAAGGCAGTCTAAGTTATATGTTACTTTACATGGAGGATTTTATTTGTTTACTAGTTTTAAGCATAGTTCTCCCTCATACATAGTGGTTAACACCAAGGTGGTAGTGCGATGCTTTCCTATTTTCTCCTTGCTTACAAGCGTGCTTAATGCATTGTTTTGTCTTCACATCCATAATGTTGAATAATGCATTATTGTGAAAAAAAAATTGCATTTCCTTTTTTACTTTTGAAAGAAAATTTAATAGCAGACACGTATTACCTAATAACATAAAACTCTGTGGAACAAAACACTTTACTGACCTTCCAGTGTTACTTGCTGCTAACAGATAATGCCAGAACTGCTCTGAGTATTCTACTCATTTCTTTTTACCTCATCTTTTCAGCCGGGACGGCACTGGGCCTTGGCGTTGTGAACATTCTGCACACCGTGAACCCTTCCCTCGTGATCCTTTCTGGAGTTCTAGCCAACCACTACGTCAGTGCTGTCAAAGAGGTGATAAATCGACAGGCGCTGTCCTCGGTTAAAACAGTGGATGTGGTGGTCTCAAATCTAGCAGATCCTGCTCTTCTCGGAGCTGCTAGCCTGGTACTGGATTATACCACACGTAGAATATACTAAAGAATTACAGAAAAATTAGAGAATTGGACTATTCAGATTCCCAATGGGTGGAGGGATTACTTTGCCCCAAACTTTTCTCTGATGAGAGCAGCTAATGAATCAAAGTAGTGTTCTGAGTAATTAGTGACTATTTTAGCATTTCCTAATTAAGGTATTATCTTTTTGTATTTTTCCTAAATTTCAGCTGACCTCATTGGAAGTAACGTGCAATTCTGGTTTTTTAAGCACCTCTATTGTTAAGCCTATACATTACTTTTGAGTGTGGCTGAATTATTTATGAGTATCTCTTGCTGTATGGGGATAATGTGTATGGTGTGTAAAATTATTACAACTCTTGGGGATCCATATCTCATTTCCCATGTATGTGAAATGAGACGTTTACCAGCTTTTCAGTTTCCAGGATTCCACCCACAAAGTAAATATGATGTAATCACCAGTAGCAGGTAGTAATTTCAGTGGGTGGAAACGAGGGCCTTTATTAAAGGGTATTAAAGGTATTAAAAAAAGGCTACACTTAGAAATTTCTTTTCATTAAGGACTTGGTAGAGGCAACCAAGTTTATTTATTAGATTATCTCTAAAGGCCAGTGTCCCATTTTAGAAGCTTTACATATGAAGGAAAAAACCTACAGTTTATTGAGCTTACAACCTGCAGAGGAATCCAAACAAAACTGATAAGTAGTTGCAGTGATGCAGTGAGTATCTTTGTCTTCTAGCTATGGCCAATAGTAAATTGCATTTTAATCTTGGGGGATGTCTCAAGAGACTTAATCTACTACTTTCAGTGAGGTGGGTTGCTTATTTTTTGGTAGCCAGTTAGCTGAAATTCAGCCACATAGCACAGCTGATCATAAAGAATCTACCTTTCACTGCAGAGTGACACAGTGCATCCCCTCAGCCATTCGGGTGGCTGCAGGTGCAATGTTCTTGTCCTGTTTTCACCATCAGCTTTCAGGATGGAAAGTCAAATCTGATCCTTATCCTTGCCTTCAGAACATTCAGAGCCTAGGGGAAAAGTATGTCAAGTGCCAGTGAAGGCTTGCCTAAGTAAGCTGTGGCTTGTATTTCTTTAATGAGTCCTTGATATACAGTGGTGTCTTTATCCAGCTGCTTTTTTAGCATACTTTCAAGATGCTGGAGAAATTGAAAAACAAACCCATCTATCAGCTAATTCAGAAAGATAACTCTGGAGGAACAGTCACAAGACTATCCTGTCCTGAATTTAATGACCTATTTTGACATCTAACTCAACCACTGTTATTCTAAGAAGTCCAGTAATGTGTCAGTACAGGGGCTATTTCCACACTTGAACTTCTCTTCCAATTAAAATGAAACAATCTTCTGCTATATAATGAACTTGGACTAAATAGCTCCTAGTTCACTCACTAATTCTGGGATATAATCTATACACATTGTCTTTACTTCACCCTTCTTCCACAAAGAATGCTTTTACTGGTAACTCACATATTCAGTGCAGATTTCAGGAACACCACCAGATCTCCCTTCTAATGTATCCATGAACAATCATACAGCCTCTATACCACTGGCAAATAACTGGTTCTTACCTGTTTGCCAAGTTATACTAGGCTTTATGTAACCAAGGAGTTTTAGTTCCTTTCCCTACATGTTGTTGTTTACTTGATGATTCCATTACCTTCAATACCAGAGTATTAGCTCTGTGAGCAGCTCAAGGAGAAGCTGGCATTTCTCTGCAGTGACAGCAGCTCAGGAGTATTGAGGTTCTAACAGTGAGGAGGCCTGTCATTTGATCTTTCCATCCTCTGCTATCACAAGGAATGCCTGGCTGGAATGCTTGGCTAAAAGTGGGACCAAGTTTTTGCTTTCCAGACCCTCTGAAGCTCTGTATTTTTGGTATCCCAGACTCAAAATCTTTTTCCCTAGCAGCTGAAGGGAGGGTGCAGGCACAGAAAAACCACAACAGACTAAAACACAGTTGAAAAGTTCTACACCTTTAACATGATGTTAAGAAAACAATTCTTCAAATTATTTTGAAAATGCTTTTTTTTGGTCAATCGTCCAAGAACTTGCTGCATATGTACAAGCTGTTTATAAACTCAGAAAGAATTAAAAAATCATGTTTAATAGCATAATAGTGGTTTTGTTTGTCTCTTCTTTACCTGTTCAGAAGCGTCCTTTGAACTTCAGGTACTTTAATGTGGAACAGAGATTTTATGGCTATTAGCCCCCCTGTTGTATCCAGTCCCAGAAGGAGCAAACATCAGATGTTCACTGAATATCTGCAGCAGTGTGCTTACTTGATGCTGGCCCAATGTCCTTTAGAATAGCCCATACGATCAAGTTTAGTTATTCAGTATTTTGAATCTTTGATATGTCACCCAGACACTTGGAAATAACAAATTCATTCATTTTCTGGTGGTCTTGAAGCACTCACCTTCCTCCATGATAATAAAATTGTCAAAAGCTTGCACTTATTATCAATGGAGGCAATGGCAATTTTATATTAAAAAACACAGCACAGAGTAAGGTGCAGATGGAATTTACACTTGGATTCAGTGAAATCTGATCACTGTGTCTATTTCAAATGCCATGGAGATACCACAGGCGTTAGCAAGGACAAAACACCTGGGCTGTACTCCCCTTGGGCCATTACAGATAATTATATCTGGATTAAAACTAGTGCCATAGCACAGTTCTGCAAAGGAACATGCTTGCTTGCATGACAAGTACTGCTGAAGGAATCCTCTTGAAAAAGACCAGACACCCATGTTGTCCATTCTGAAATACAAGCCAGTAATCTGTATGTCTCCCTCTTAACTGGTTGCTCAGAAAAAAAAAGGAAAAAAAAAAGGGAAAAAAAAAACAGCATCAAGAAAGAGAAGCTGCACCATGTTTTTTTATGGCTGATAAAAATTTAACCATGTTCCATAGGCTAAGAGGATGAATGCACAGGGCTGTCGTTTTCATGCTCCCTGCTTTCCAATGAACCCATGACCTCTCCATCCCCCTTCTTGACAAATGCTCATTGTAATTTCAGACTGCCTGGCTGCTGGCTGCCACCTGATCAGAAGCTAAACAAAGCACGGTCTATACTAGGATGTATTCAGCAAGAGTTCACAGCTTCTCTCTCAATACTACCCGAAATCTTCACAACATGCAGCCAGGAGTATATCTAAAGGATAGGAAGTGCCCAAGTTTTTTTTCCAGATTCCACTGACTAATCTATGGAGATAAGCAGCAACAGTGAGAAGATAATGCCAGTAAACAGGACTGAGCACAGACAGGACGCCAGAGGTGTAGCACAATACTGTCACATGAAGTTACAAAACAAAGTGACAGATACTGACCTCTGAAAAAAAACAAGTCAACGTTTAGAAACACAGATAAGATAACTGTTTTTCCCAAATAAACCTGAGAATTCTTTTGCTCTGTCACAAGGTCTAAGTATCTAAAACAATTCTCAGACACAGAAAATGTCCTGATTGCAGGAGTGCTGTTTTTGGTTCTGAGCTCCCCAGTGCACAAGAGACATAACAATACCAGGGAGAGCTCAGCAAAGAGCCAGAAAGATTACAAAGCAGCTACAGCATTTCTCCTATGAGGAAGGGCTGAGAGCTGGAACTGTTCAACTTGGAAAAGAGAAGGCTTAGGGGAATCTTACCTATGTCTATAAATACCTAAAGCAAGAGTGCAAAGAAGATGGGCTCCTTTCATTTGTACCATGACAGGAGATACTGGGCACAGAGTGAAACACAGGAGGCTCCATCTGAACATCAGAAACACTTCTTTACTGGTATCCAAGCACTGGCAGAGGTTGCCCAGAGAAGAAGTGGACCTTCACTTCTTGGAGATCATCAGAAGCTGTCTGGATATGGTGACAGGCAACAAGCTCAATGTGGTTTTGCTTGAGCAGAGGAGCTGAACTACATGACCTCTAGAGGTCCCTTCCAACCACAGCCAGTGTATGATTTTGTGACAGCACTGATAAAGACAGTGAGCTAGCAAACTTGAATGTAAAATTAAGGCAAAAGAAGTAATCTGCAAAATCTCTGCACCAGAGTTAAGCTAGCAGAGGTAATCAGAACCCACAGAGCTGCATTTAAAGTGTTGCAGCAGGATGGAATATGTAAAAAATCTGCAAACACATTCTTAACCTCTGCAAACCCAGCACATAAAATATTGCTTTAACTTCTGTAACATTGCTTTAGCCTTGAAGTCGAGTCTTTGCCCATTTTCTTGGATTGCAGCTCTAAGCCACCTCCATAGCCAGATAAAATATTCTGTAAGATAGGAAAATGCAGTGGTCAATAAATATCACAATTCAGTGTCCAGGAACCACTCTAACCTGCAATCTGATCTTTCACATTCTCTTAAATTCATATTAATAACTTAACGACTGTATATTTAATGTAGCGGACTTCAATAAATTATCGGCACATTTTGAACATCTTTCTTTTCAAAACTTTTGAGTGTGCAGCAAAAAGGAAATTTTTGGTCAAGGCATAACTAGTCAAGGCTAGGAATGAGTATCAGTATTTTATGGACTTGCTGTGTGCTTCAGTCCTGTTGGACTCACCTGCCATACCCTTGTGCAGTTTAGAAGATATCTTCTTGCCTTTATCTTCCACGGAATCAAGCTTTCAGACTTGTAACCTACTATAATTCTCATCACCACCCATCAGTAGTGTGTGAATACACTTGAAAACATGAGACTAGGTCCAGTCATTACAGACAACAGCAAAGTACAGCTTAACAACTGCAGCCCAACTGGAAACCATTTATTGACTGCCTTACCCATCAAAGGGACACAGCTGCTGTGCAGTAACATCCTGAGCCTTGGTCCATCGTAGTCTGCATCTGCAACCCTTTTCAAACTGCCTGGAATAACCCTCCAGTTTGTACATAAAAGGTATTAAAGCAATTAGGCTGCACAGTGGTTCAGATATTGTGTCTTTGACGAACATGGTGGAATAATGTAAGAAATTGAACAGATTAGTTTTAGAGATAGACAGCTATGGTTAAGGTTTAGCAGAGCAAGGCTAGAATACGGCTCCTGTGACTGCTGGGTGAGCAAAGGAAACAGAACAGAGATTTTCTAGATCAGTTTGATTCAGATTCAACCACCTTGGCAGACAGAGGTCCAACCTAGAGATGAGCAGCAGTAAGAGCAAGTCTTCCCTGTCTTCCCTTCTCTTACTCTCCAGCTCTTCAGTTCACCACCTAGCAGGAGCAAGTGTCTGCAAGGGTCAGTGAGGACAAACACATAGTTCAAAAACATCCAAACAGCCTCTACACCAGAGATCTTTGCATATGAAGACAGATTGAAAAGCCAGTGGAACACAATAAGCAGTAGAATACCAAAGGTCTTAACTGCACAGGGTCCTCTCCTGTGTGATGAGCCTCAGAGAGGCAGCCAGAGTGACAGCAGAAAATTATACACAACTACTTACCTGCAGAAGGCAGCATCCTCAGTCCCACTGGAAGCAAGATAAGCCCCTTAACAAGCCTGCTGTTTAAGTTTTCTTGAGCTGCTGTCTAGTGTGATAAATTGGATAGGGGAGAAGTTTTTAAACTAAACCCCCAAGAGCTTTAAGAAAGCTTAAAGAAACGAGGACAGCCTTGCAGAGACCACAAGCACTGCTGGCTGGACATTCACCATCAAGGTGAAATCACTAGCAATCAAGAAAAATGTTTCCTCAAATTCAAACACTCTCTGTGAAAAGGAAGCAGGAGACCTCAATTCATCCACAATCAACACATTTTGCTGTTTTACAGATCTTTAATATCAGTAATGTAGGAAGTGACACCTCGGTGCACAAAGCACAGAGACTGTAGTTTCAGAGGTTCTCCCATTTCAGACACAGAAAGAAAACACCAGGAAGAACATGCAATCAAACAATGATCAACTCTAGATACATCATGATGTGGTCCAAAAATACACATTGAAACAATTAACCAAATTACTGCAAACATAGCTTCTCTGAGTAAGGTTAAGATATTGCATTTGTAGTGTCTCCATCCAGCTTTGCTTCAGCGAACCAGTGGAGCCTGCTTGAGTGAGATGAGGACTGAACGCATGCGGGACACATCTTTTGCCTGCTTACTAGACTTGGGATTAAAGTCACAGAGCTGAGCCACACGTTCCCACTCAGTGCCCGGAAAAACTTCTTCTGCATCATTCACAAAGGCTTCTTCAGCTGCCCTAAAAGCAATGCAATGCACCTCGTGTTAATGCCCAGCATGTAAGGCACTCCTTCCCTCCTACAGGATGCAGTTTCTTCCAGCATGTTTTGTAAGGAATGCGACCTGACAGCTGCTTGTGGACATTATGGCCACATAAGCTCCCACTGCCCCAGTCCTGGAGATGAAATATATTGCAGTAGTATGCTATGCACAAGCAGTGCAGAGGATCGCGGAGGATTGTGTAAAATGTTGGAATACAGGTGTTTGGTTTTAAGAATACTTATTGAGTCTTTGCCTAAGGAGTCACCACACAAGCTTCCAGGAAGTAAGGCACTTCTATGTAGGCATTTTATTTATGGCGAAATGCCCAGGTCTTAACTAGTTAAGCCTCTGCCACTTGATGGCTTATACTGGACATTTGCCAACTGGAAATTTACAACTGCCTGCAAGCATGTCTTTAACAAATGCCATTTGAGGATTTAAATCAGCCCCAAGGCCTACAGGCCATCATAAAACTATCTGCTGATGATTCCCAATGCTGTAGTGAAGCAGCATGAATCATAAGGAATTTAAGGCAGGAATCCCATGCTTGTGAGTGCAATAGACTACAGCGTATCTTGGCAGAGGAGATGACTTGTTTGAGGCTCCCTCACAGAACAAACATATTTCCCCTGGTCTCATCCTAAGGATACTCTAAGAAGGTTTTGTACATTATATACTGGATAGTGCCAGTGGCTTTCCAGCTGTATTATTTTGGCTTTTCTATGCTGCCAATAGCATTGCTTCAATGCAGGGATAACACTCCAGCATCTAGTTTACATGAACTGTGGGGCCCTGGTAGCTGCCTGAGTGCGGAAGCAGTAAGCACCAAGAGATCAAACCAAATCCATCTACGACAACAAGCAGTACAGAGAAAGCAGTGAAAATGACTCTCTCATGAGGGTTCAGC